CGCCGCTCGGCGAGCCCCTGCGCTTCTCGGCCATCCCCGCCGCCCGCGCCCGCGCCCGCCCGCCCGCCGCGCTCTCATGCACCTCGCGGCGCACCACGCACTCGCCCTCCGGGAAGCCCGACCCCGAGCTGGGTGCTCCTTGGCGCCTCGGAGATCGGGCCACTGCCCAGAAGGCGAAGTTGGCGTTTCCTCTTTCTCGCTCTGGACGGGATCCGAGGAACTGGCGACGCCGCGACCGCCAACGTGCCTGCCCTCGGGTTCCTCGCGCTCGTTCCCTCTCCCTCTCTCTCTCACTGATTCACTCCTTCGCTCCCACCCCCTCCACCTCCTCCTGCTGCTCCAAGATCTGATGCGCCAGAGAGGACTAACACGGGTAAAAAACACTCTGCGGACACAAATTAGGGATTGTAATTGAAATTTGTTGCCTTGATCTGTCAGCACTTCCAGGCAGGAGAGCGGTGGGAAGAACTTGCTCATTAGCGTCAATAAAGCGACTGGGGGCGGGGCCCAGGCGTCCGTCAATCACCGAGACGGATAGCCAATCGGGAGGCGCCAATTCCGCGCAGCCCACGCCCACTTCCTTACAAGGTAGTCAAGGACTCGGAGTGAGAAGCGCCGCCATCTGGCTTGGAAGTGCCAGCCGGCGCTCGCGGAGCTCTGCGGGTCGGGCTCCTAAACCCAGACCAGCCTGGAGGCTTTCTCCCCAGAATCTGGAAAGGCGGAGGCTCCTGGCTTTAAACCGAGAAACCCTCCAAGTTTCCTTCAAGGAACCTTACTTAAGATCCTGTTCCACATCCTTGTCATTTAACCTTGCGGCGACTCAGAACCTTTTGGAAGGTCGTGAGCTTTGTAAGGCACCTCATCCACGTCAGTCATCTGTCATTTGAACATTCCTGTGTTCAGTAGCGCCCGTTCCGCGTGGAACTGGGCACCGGACTTAAATTTTACTCGCAGAAGGTTTCTTAGGGGAGATGCGCTTAAAAAATATTTAAATCGTTTATATTTAGGAACAAAATGTTACAGTATGGCTCAGTCCCTCCTAACTCCTGGGAAAAGTGCGCCCTTTCTGGAGATCGCCTTTGCTTTCAAAGTGATAGACGTTTTAATAAGTAGGTCACAGGATTTTAATTCTGTACGTTGTTGGCGATATCTAACTCTAAAATCCTTTAAAACTTTTCAAAGTACAGTTTTAAAGCACAATCGCAGTTTTCAACAAATTCTCTGATTTAAAGTAATTTCACATTCTTTCTAGTTTAACAACCGACCACGTTTTTCTCAGGTGTTCAGAGTTGATCTGTTTCTGTATATTCAAAATGAGACAGCAACTCAAACTGAGTAGTAGTTTCAACTCTGATTTTTGTTAGACTTCACAAAAAAGTGTATGGTTTAAATAAAGTAAATAAAATACAACAGTAAAAAGAATAAAATTTATGTTGAACGTTACTTCTACTCTTTGGTATAACATACATGACAAATAATTGGTTTGCTTTGGTTTTCTCCATTGTTTAATTTTTGCAACTTCGTGCTACCCGTTTCTTCTATCTATAAGCTTTCGGCAGAGTGCTTCTAGAAGTAGCCTGGCCTCCTCAACCAACCATAGCTCAGGGAACCCGCAGTTGTTGCGGGGACGGTAGGACACTAGTAGGGACCTAGCGGGCGGTGGCCAGAGGCACGTGCTGGCCGCCCCGCAGGGCCTGCAGCCGCGGGATCCTACGGAACCGGGAATAACCCTGCGGAGGAGGCCTCTTTTAAATGCTGGAGAAGGACGTCCAGCTGGAAGGGGTTGTTTTACATTTGCAAAAGAAAGACTCTGCCTGTTCTGGAGCCCTCCGGAGGCACGAGTTCAAGCAGTGTCTAGTCTTTTAAAAATGCAAATTCTGTTTCTGAAGTTTGGCCCTGGCGGGAGCGAACGCAACCTGCAGAAATTGGGGCGTGGGCTGGGGCTGGTTAGACGGTGTGAAGGGCAGAGGAGAGGCGGGGGTGGCGGGGCTGTACCTTGAGGCTCCCCTTGCAGAAGCAGGGGCTGCTCGCTGAAGGCCGCTCTTGTTGCCTAAGTGGACCGGCCCCGGCCCCAAACTCCTGCTCTCCCGTGGCTGAGAGAAGAGACCGCTTTCTTTTCCAAGTCTCCTCCACAGCCTTAGAGGCACCGCGGCCTATAGATGGAGTCCGTTGGATATTTTCCCCTAAGTAGGGCCGGGAGCCGGGGCATGGGGTCCCGAATGAAACGGGACAAATGCGGTTTCCAGAGAAACCTGCTTGGTAGTCTAGATCTGTTCCTTTTCTGTGCCCGGAGTTCAAACTAGTTAAGGATTTTCGAGCAAACCTGCAGGGTTCCCCGGGTCATTCCTCCCCAAACTCTCTTCTTCTCTTCTGCCATTTCTTCGCCTTTATCCCTGTCAGCTAGTGGACACCCGGAGACTTGAATCTCATAAGAAAAACCCTGATAACCCGGGCTTTACCCATATCCATGCTAGAGCTCTTAGAAATAAGTGTGTGCGGGAGAGGAGGCTAGGGCTCCCTGAAGCTTGCTGGGTCAGCGCCGCCGCTGGCCTCCTTGAACTCGCGTGGAATCCGGTTCAAGCTTCTGGACGAGGCGGGGCCTGTCACTGTGTCCCCGACCTCGCGAAGCAGTGAGTCGCAGACTGCAGTTCACCCTGACCTTGGGCCCTAGATAAAAAGCAGCAAGCAATGTCTCTCCCGGGCATGGGAAGAAAGCAAGCCCCAAGTTGGCTGCGCGGGATCTGGGCTTTAGAATTAACAGCCAGGCTCGCGCGCTGGCGCGAAAAGCCTCCTTTGCTGCAGCAAAAAACAAAAAACAAAAAACAAAAAAAAAAAAAAAAAAAAAAAAAAAAAAGCAGGACAGGGAATATCCTCTAAGGGACTTCCTCTCCTGCGTTTGCACATGTCCTAAATGTGCACACCAGAGAGAAAGAGAGGCAGTTTGCACATGTGTCTGTGTGCGCGTGCACCTGTGCTTGTCACACGCAAGAGAGAGCATATTAAGGAATGTGTGCCTCCATTCATTTTAGGAAAGAAAATATCTTTTCCCGGTAGAAGCGACATTAAGAAAATGATTAAAACTGAAATAAACTTTCAGGCCTCTCGAAAGATTAGCTGGACACTAAGAAAAGTCGCTTAGAGTAATGGTCAGTCTCAGGGGCTTGGAGGAAGAGGGAGGAACAGCCATCCTGGCCTGCACGGATCCGGGACAATGATACACAGCGAAAACCTCCTCCCTGGAGATGGGTACGTCCGGGGTGGGGTGGACTTTTAAAAAGCATATCCGGTCTCTTTTTTATTTTTCCTCTTGCTGCTTAAAATTGGACAATTCGCAAAGGCTCTTTAAAAACGAAACACCTCACTTCAGGTTGACTCTAAGCTTTTTAGCCTGGAGTCCCTTGCAAGCATTGATCTCTGTATCTCTGTTTTTGTCTCTCTCTAACTCATTTTATCTAACAAATACATTTAATTTAAATGTATTTAATTTAAAGTATTGATTAAAGTTAAAAGCTCAATGCAGCAGGACTTCATTCTCCAAACAGATGTTTTTCTTTTCTCCCTTACACTTACACCCGTTCCATTTGATTTCCTGGATTGGAGAACTGACACACGGACATGAGGTGATCCTTGGCAATATAAGCAGGTCTGCTCTGGCTACTGAATTTCCCAGCCTGTGGGGGACTCT